AGACGCATACAACTAATATGTGCATGTAAATACCGCATGAGCTAATACGGATGACGGTGCGACTGATGATATGATGATGATGATGATGACGATGGCGTGGTGGATGCGAATGGCCAAACGTTTTGTCACTATCCCGCTGTGCCCCAGCCGAATGAAAAATTTGCATTAGAGCGGCTTTTGTAGTATCTATTGGTAATAGCCACCGAGCATGTTTCCCACATGTTACAGGCAAACCAAAGTGACAACACTCAACGAAATCAATTCCATCCAGATGAATTCAGTCCCTCGTAAATCAGACCGGAGAGACCGACCAGAATACAAATTATTCGTTCTTGTACTTGATCGCTGAGACAAATTCATGAAATATATATGGTATTTTTTTAATGGACCTGGATTCAAAAATTAAAGCACAACTTCCGATCTTATTGTTTGTCACACGCTACAATGAGATAAACAACAAAACGGGTAAATCTTATATAGTCATAAGGAACTACTAATCCCCTCTGGAGGACGGCATCATAAGTCCAGGAACTTGGAGTGGCGAAACCACATATTCCCCCACTAGCAAAGGAGAGGCGTGGAGCCGGGCGACAGGGAAGCTCTCTGGCATCAAATCTCTGTGACGGTGTCGGAATTCGAATCTCTGGTCATAGGGTCTCCCAAGCAGACCAATGATAGCGACNCGAAACGCAGCGGGTTTTTTACAAGACATGCAAATTCCAAAGACAATTCCCTACCGCTAATACCAAATCAATCAACTTGTTGTGCATTGTCGACTTAAAATCACACCACAATATGTGTCTGAACAGAAAGGAAATGTGTTTCTGTTATCAATACAGTGACAAACGCCAACGCATCTCGAATCTGCACATGAGTAACTGGTCGGCCAGTCGCGTGCCAGATCGATCGACCTATCCGAGATTGAACTCAAACGCAAAGACCACGTGTGATTTCGCACACACAATAACGGACGTGCGCACACACACACACACACACACACCGTTGATACGCCTTCCCCGTGACAAATGCATCAACCCCGATGCAACACCCTCGATCACATCTAAGTAAGACGCACAACGTTTTTCAGTTTAGCAAAGTGAAACCGTGACCACATAGCAAAACGAGTCCAAGATTTTACCATTCGCTTTAAGAAGACCAAGACTTCTTTAATTTTCAGCGAGCAAATATCACATGGACTTTTTGAGCTCATTGATACCGAATGGCCAGATTAAGGTAATTCGGTGAAGTGATTGGTAAGGTTTAGTTACAAGATGGCTTGTGCAATAGGACCATTGGTACAATGCAACAGAACATTGAACTGTCCCATTATTTGTATCAGTTGGAAAAACAAACCGATGTAGATGTAGTTGTTAAGATTTGCATATCAGAGTTGAAAATGATATACCGGTAGCTGTTAAAACTCTCTGCGTGTTGATGTGGTTCATCAAATGTACCAGGGATTGATGAGGGGTGGTGCATAGTACAAGAATTGAAAAAACTCCATTTCCAGTCGTTTACGAACTGTAAGTAAAAGACTAGCTAAAAGAAATTATTTGTGATGCACTGTTTACGGGACTTCCAACAAAAAGTATTGTTGATTTCGGATGTTCAAACCCGCGCATGATAGAGCACAAATGCATAGAGTGACAAGTCACCGCGTCGAGTATTGATCACCCGAAACAATCATGCATGAGATGACTGTGTAAAGTATGAAAAGTTCTGTCGTGTTGCACACAAGTCACGAATCTTGTTATTTTGCATAAAGAACAACAGTTACGGACTCTAGGTTCGTACCATACTGATACGTGTGAGTTCATATCATTTTATATGAACTACAGGTTGTGTTTATCAGCCGGGGTTGGAATACCCCGTACAATGTCAGTAAGCAAAAAACAGATTGTTTGATCAATCTTACCGACCAGATACAGCACAGTTTCGAGGAGGACGTACCGAGCCGTATGATTTATGAAAACGGCTGTATGAAAACAGTATGTGATTAACTCTGGTAGACAAGCGAGAAAAACCTCCCTGCACAACAAATGAAACCAAATGAACGAAATGAAACTTACCGGTGGCAAGTGCACATGCTTTTGCTGATCTCCCACGATGCACAAATTGTTTGCTGAACTCATATGAGAAACAGGAAAGTAGACAATCAGTGTGGCTAGAGAGATCATATTGCGATCAGATTTCTCCTCATTTGGCAAACCACGTTTACATAAGGTGTCAGTTGCACAAGATATATCCGAACACGGTTGAATATTATTACGATCCACATGGACTGAGGCGTGCACCAGACGCGAGCTCTGTTCACGCTTGAAAAAGTACACAGGCATAGCCAATACCAACTGGATGGGACCAGAGCCACCATGTCTAGCGGTAAGATCCACTGGGATTGATTCGCCAATAGCAATCCGGATAGGACGATGGGATCCAGAAGGAGTGACTATCTGATCAATCAATAGATGTGCATAGAACACTTGGGCTTGATGTTCACCCAGATAATCCGTTAAATCCGTTCGACACTGGACCGGGAACTTACTCGGGCTTGCAGACTGATCGCAGCGATTTGTTTCCATTGCGTTTGGATCAGATTAGTGCATACACGAGCACTTGGGTTTGAATTGCAGATAGAATCAGGTGGGAGGAAGTCACGAAACTGATTTAAATATTCGTAACCCTCTACAGGATATATTTTCTGCAAGGCACCGAGCTCTAATGTAGTTGTGAGACCTATGCGTGGGTACGTTTATGCATCAGTGTAATTCAATGCCTATATTTAAGCATGTACTGCTATGTTATCTAGACCTATGCACGGATGTGTAGAGGACTGCACCCATTGGGGTCTTAATTTCTTGATATAGAGGCTAGTTGTAGTGAAGCAGAGATCGTAACTGTTCGTCAATCTTTTCGTCTCTGCTCGAAGGTCAGTGAACACATGAATCGTTGACAGAATTCGTTAAACGAACTTTACTGAGCTATCTGCTCAAATAAGTGAGTTTTGTGATTAGATACCTATGCATACGTTTGCACACGAGTTGCAAGCAGCTATTCCGAACGCCGTCGATGGAATTTCACAGAATGCAAAGCTTCAAATATCCAAGATGCCGTCCAGCAATAATCCGATGGCGATAATCGGGCAGATTCAACAGAAAACAGAATGACCATTAAAATAGCACAATTGGACGTTTGTTTCTTGTTGGAGCATGGCACAGAGAATGGTCGGTCAGCTGTGCAGTCCTGTTTGTCTACACTGCTATTACCACTGCTGCTGCTGGTGGTGGTGGTGTCGGTGGTGGTGGGATGGGTGTGTTGGTGGTAGAGACGAAAACAACGACAATAACAACAACAGTAGCGTCAATTACTGCACAGGAGAACAGTGGCGGTGATGATGAGAATGCTGTGTTGTGCAGATGTGTGAGACTATCTCTCCAATGCACAAACAAGGCTGCAACCCTTGAACTGTGCCCGAACAACCTGCGCTAGTGCGTGTCTACCCGTATGCGCACACAAACAAATGCGTTTGTGCAACCGTGTATATGCGTGAGTGGTGCGGTCTATTTTCGAAGGCGCGTTGGTCGTTGCAAGCTTGCACATACACTCATCCACATACAGACACATACCTACATAGACGATTGCACCTATCTTATGTGGCTTTGTGTTTATCGCTGTCTATGTGCGTGGGTTTTATCCACACATTCTTGCATGTCTACTTCACTGTGTGTCTATTGACGATCGGGTCTTCTTCTAACTGAGTGCGCGCGTAGGGTCGTTTGGATTGAATATGGGACATGTGATCGATCTCTGTCTGTCCACCGCGCTCAACTGGCGTGGATGAACGTGTGCACACACATACATACACACGTGCGCGGCATAGACACAGTTACATGAGCGCGCACGAACGTGCTATCTCACTCTCTGTTGGCCATTCGGTCACGGTCACCACTACCGCCACCATAGATGATGATACACATCCACCCCGTTCAAATTTAGTACACCAATCAGCCACCAACACCACCACCTCTTCAGTGCCCCCATCCCACCATGGTATTTGACAAACATCCGGTTAATGCTTTGGTCTCGCTCCAAAGATCGGCTTTGGGGATGATGGTGGCGGTGGTGGTGGTGACCATGGTGACAAATTCAGTGAGTGCAAGCAGTGGCAATACTACTTCCAGCCAATTTTTCTATTCGACGACGTATGATTGAATAGGTTGATCATATATCATGTACCAATAAGTTGGTACAATAATATACACAAATATATAATTTGGCATTACAAAAGGGAAACATAGAAATTTTATTCAGGATCTGGATAAACAGATTTTTCATCACGGCGATGAAGAACCACATTTCAGCGGGATAATATGAATTCAGTTATTTCGGGTACTCTCAATCAGCTGCATACGTACAATGACAATCAAGGTTAAACAACAATGGAGATATGATAGGTTATGTGACAAATGAACACATCAATTGGGCACATCACGGGACACGAGCAAAGGTCACACAGGGTGCAAAATATCACCACTCCCACCCCTACAATAATAAATTTACCTAAGTGGTAAAAATACGTCCACTTATATTGCTTATGACTACAACACAATCCTCAGGCATGCATCGAGTTGGGCTCCGGATTGCCCAAACTTCAAACATATACTACTTATGAAAGAAAAAGTCTCTAATTCGAGAACAATACGAAAATGACTTCCGTACGCATAAACCCATTTCTCCAACATACAAGTTTAGTAAGTCAGACATTCCGGCTGTTCGTTGTCCTCGTGTCATAGTCACAATCCGTTGAGATGAACTGTATGAACAGCACCGTGATCGTGTTAATTTTCTGAAATCGTTCAAGGTTTTGAAATAACAGTCAGATGGTCGAGTAGCTAAGGTCATCAAAATACCATCCTGGTTGTCCTTAGTTCGAACGGCTCCACCGTCAACTGTATTACCCCCTATTTCCCCAAGCAGCCTTTTTGAGGTCACCGCGCTTTACTTCGACATTGATTGTACATTTGTATACCCAATAAACGAGCTTTCCATCCGTAAGAATCGTATCGCAAACCATGACTGAATCTCCCAACGTTGGCTCGATGACTGAATATCGTTCTCTTGCTCGGATCACTCCAGTAGAATATGAGTCGACGTTGAACGTTTTTGCGTCATTAGATGTCATACGTTTTCAATCCTGCTGAGGGGACGTGCGCTCACGCAACTCGATCATCCCTAAAGCAATCTGCTTGTTATCCATTGTAGTGATTTCATCATCTGGCATTCGATGCGTGGTGCAGTTGGTAACAGTTGATTTACGTGCCGCACACTCCACCCGAGTGTATCGGTAGTTGTAACTTCCACGTACTGAATGTCTGATTTCAAGCAGCTTATGAGAGCCGTCTCGTGCTTTGATCAGAGATCATTCACAGAATTTCGTGTTTGTTCTTGTGGTTATATCCGTGTGGGCCGGCCATAACTTTGTGAGCCATCCCTGGTGGCCAATGAATTTCTCCGTAACTTTATACATGCAAACACCCCTATCGTTGTTGGCGGATTCTGTTTGCTTGTTTTGTTATTCCGACAGGTTCGAACCGCTGTTCGGACAAATGACAAATTACTCTGTTGAGCATCATTCACTCATTGAACACGACGTGATTGTCGTTCACGATTGTGCAGCAGCACATCGTCGAACACTTCCGAGGTCCATACAACCTCAGATGAGGAGACATGGAGTTAATTTCAGTCCTCTTGATGGGGTGTTAGCATTTTGCATCCCCAGGGACCCATTTCCTGGCAAAGATTAGTTTAGTTGGGTAGCGGTTAAAACCTACTGGGTTTTTCCATATCAACCGTAATCAATTTGGGTGGTTTGGTTATCGAGAAACTGCAGACCAACAGGATGGATTGTCCAGCTTTTCATGATCTATATGCTAGAACGGTTTACTTCAACCGTATCGTATCGTGATTATGGAATCTCTGATGTAATTTGGGCTAAACACTTCACCATTTGTCTAATAAGGCTGTACTTGAAATGGGACTGAAAGACGTGGATACTGTAGCAACCAACCGCTTGTTGGAGTAAATTTAGTCCAGACGAATACACGAATCCGGCTGGCACAGTTGTCGCTGATCTTGAAGCCACGAACGAAATAAAGCGTTTCAAATGCGATAATCAGAAAAAGCGAAGAACCGATGCAAAAAACCGGTGCATGCGACCTCAACTAGTGCCCGCCTAACACGTTGAATGGAAAGGTGAAAGTGGTGTGTGTGTGTGTGTGTGTGTGTGTGTGTGTGTGTGTGTGTGTGTGTGCGAATAATCAACGGACAGACACGCCCAAGTGGAACTACGGACAACAGCCAACGATCGATTGCTGCCTATATAATACGGATCATTGAGCTATTCACATTCAAAGTAATCTTCGTCACTGTTGAAATGACTGGTAATGATAACGATTCATCATTAGCCCAGCAATGCGGCAAGTGATATGCGATCAATACCCTTCGGTATTGATCAAGTGAACTAATGCAAGAACAATATTTCAGTGGTGAAACAAACAGAAGATGAAGCAAGTTATAATTATTTAAATTACAGAATGTGCCCATTGATTAAGAACACACAAGTTTTCGATAAATTCATTTTCTCGCTTTTACAATCACATTTATACTACGAAACGATCTCAGTAAGGTCCGACAGAAAAGGGGGTGAGTCTGTCTGTGTTAACGAGCCCGAGAGAACTCCAAATTGTTATTCTGTTTGGATTATATAACCAAAATTCGCTATGTTACATCATGGTCATGTGAACAAGCGATTTTCTCTTCCTTTGACCAGGAAAGTTTGAGATCAATTTTCGTAGGTTAGCGCCCCCAGAGGCAATTGTGCGCACAACGAAAATGTGTCCAAACTCTCGAATTCTCCTGTTCAAGGGAAAAGAAAATCGCTTGTTCACATGACCATGACGTAACTTACCGAATTTTCGTTACGTAATCCAAACAGCTTGCCAGTTTGGAGTTCTCTCGGGCTCATACCTGATTCAACTACTTTTCTGTTTGACCCTACCGAAATTGCTCATATCCATGTGATTAGAATTATTTAATTCAAGCAAGCAATACTTCAATTAATAACGATCCGTTTCAATGGCGTACGGCGAGTAATGTCATGAAAGAACTGATAGTAGATATCAATTTCTGTTTCACATTACCACCTCTGGTTCCAGGATCACATACGATGCACATGAACACATTGCCGTCTGTTGGTTGAACTCATTCCCTTTGACACTTCTGACGTCCTCACATTGTATAACACAGATGCAGTACCAGGTCGCGCGGGAGGGGGGGGACGGGTGAGTGAGTGGTACAATACCAGTGGAACACTCATATTTCGGGGGTGTGGAACTCGTCGGACAACAGACGATGGACGATCAGACATACCACAGAATAGGAGGTGGGCAAGTAGATGATAAATGACTGCTTCAATGTACATACGATTGTTGTTTCTGGTGCTGGTGGCGGTTTGAACAAACGTTCATCGGAAGGCAGAGAACGAAAGGTCCGTGTGTCATCCGTAGCGGAAAACATGCACTAT